AAGCTATTAAAAGTAAACTAATCTGTCATATCAACACAAGCATGATAAAAGTTTAGTTGAAAATACTCCCTACCAATCAAAACATCAATGCAATGCGTAAACTGCGTGTTTTCGCAGCCCTACCTGCATAGACAGCAGCAGCAGCATCACTCGGAGAGAGTAAAGGTGTGATATTGAGGATGGATGTGGCTTATAACATAAGAATATGTGCGACGAGGTCTAACGAAGGCTTTTCTTGCAACTGCAAGACCTGTCCTTGTCATTTCGCCTTCTTCTTAATCAGTTTTCACGCGAGTGTTTTGCTCCCCCACCTGCACAGCATCCGACGCCGCGCAGTGAGTCTGCATCTAGGGCATGTATTTGGCAGGAAAGCAGGTTGGTAATGCCTACAGCGCAAGCGTATTTCGAGGGCGCCATTCAACAGCAGAGCACTATTTTGCAAAAACGCCCAACCTCTGTGGACCACAGAGAGAGAAGGGAGTGCGTTTACAATCACGGCGATACACAGAGAGACTACATACAGTGAGTCATCAATTGTGGCACTTCAACCTCCGTAACGGAGATTACGTGAAATCTGTGTCCAGCAGCTTTAAAGTGAGGCTAACTGATTTTCACACTCCTCCTACATAAACACACACTTAATTATTGGCGTGCTTTTGGTAAACCGGTGTTTTGAGTCTCTTAAGTGAATTCAGTAGCTATGTTTACATGCACCAAAATACAGTATTCAGTTTATAATTGGACTAACCGGACTGAATAGCCTTCATGTAGCCTAAACACTTCAATCGATCCGACTGAACTCGATCCGAACGAAATTTCGAGCGGATTAAAAGGTGTAACGTTAGTGTGCTGAATAATCCGATCAACAGAAAAATCAGAATAATTCTCAAAAAAAAAAAACAGTTTATAATTGGACTAACCGGACTGAATCGCCTTCATGTAGCCTAAACACTTCAATCGATCCGACTGAACTCGATCCGAACGAAATTTCGAGCGGATTAAAAGGTGTAACGTTAGTGTGAACCTGAATAATCCGATCAACAGAAAAATCAGAATAATTCTCAAAAAAAAAAAAATGTGTATGTTTATATTCCGTATGTTTTACATCTCATACTTATGCTGCGTTCAAGTCCTCCTGTACTTACGAGTTGACAAGTCGTAATAACGACGGCATGTGCGTTCAAGTCACTTTGGTCAAGTCACTTTGGTCAAGTCACTTTGGTCGGAACAATATGGCGATTGAACTTTTTTTTCCATAAAATTCAACGATTTTTTTTAACTTTACATCTACAAAATGATTAATAAAGAATGTGCGTCATTGTGTTTTTGCTTTTTTCTGTTTTTATTCAATTTATGAAGGTGATGTAAACTGAATATGTTCTTTGGTAATTATACAATAATATAATATTTTGTATATGTAACAGTTTTATTTTACGTTACAAAAAATGAATCATTTTATTAATTTCAACAAATTTACCATCAATACAGATGCTGCATATGTAGTCTTTGGACGCGTCCATTGCATCCGACACGTTTTCTCACGGACACGCCCCCAACTCGGGAACTCGGGACTTAAAGAAAATGTTGAGTTTCCCCACTCGTAAATACGATCTATCTGACATGACTTGAACGCACCATTAGCCTACAAACTGGTCAGTGGATGAGATTCAATATTTACGCAAATAAACAAACAAACAGACATTGGTTCCAAACTCTGCCAACTGCTCTCTCACTAATAGACACCATACTGAATTTAAGGCTACACTCTTAAAAATAAAGGTGCTTCAAAAGGTTCTTCAAGCGATGCCATAGAAGAACCATTTTTGGTTCCACAAAGAACCATTCAGTCAAAGGTTCTTTAAAGAACCATCTCTTTCTTACCTTTTTGTAATCTGAAGAACCTTATTTCGCCACAAAGAACATTTTGAGAAACATAAAGGTTCTTCAGATGTTAAAGATTCTTTATGGAACCATTTAGACAAAAAGGTTCTTCTATGGCATCGTGAAGCACCTTTATTTTTAAGAGTGTAGCCTAATGAAAAAGAGGCAGTCTTTACCATGGAACGCGCTGTATAAAGGTCCTAGATCATCTAATCTTTGCCAATTCACAACTTTCAAAACTATTTTATGGAGTTTTTGTTGTCTACTGAAAGCTTTTTGGAAATAAATTTTGTGAGCTGAACAATTTTGCTAGACAACCATCCCTGATCACACTTACATCATGGAGACATCTATTTGATGTCTGCATTTACATCTGCAAGACGTATTTTTTAGTGTTTGCTCATCTGCAATATGACGTTTCCTATCAGATGTCAATTAGACGTTTAGAAAATGTCTTAAGATATTTATGAATTTCGAATGTATGTAAAGATCTTAAAGATGTCTATCAGATGTGTGTACACAGCAGATGCATTCCAGATGAAGCGATCTTTAACAGACATCTTGCAGACATACATGTGCTATCTGGGATGAATGGACTGCACTTCTCTTCCTCACCCCAGCGGTTGGGTTCAAAACATCCCAACCGTTGGGTCAAAACAACCCAATAGCTGGGTTTGTCCCTTTTTAACCCACCGCTGGGTTATATTACATTGTTGCTAGACAATATTAGAGTGTACGGATGGCTGACTGAACCAGAGTTGACATCCCAGCAAACACAGAACATTCCCCTAATGTTAGCATATGGTTCTCATTTGGTTATTTTTGGGATCCAAACGTTTCTATTTTTTCTGTAGGTTCTTTTTTGTAAACCAAAAACGAACATTCCCAGAGCAAAAATTGTTAGCTGGAATGTTGTTCATTTTAGTTGTTAATCGGAGTCATTCGTAATAAGCAGAGAAAGGGGTGTCACGAAATCGAACACACAGGATTGTGGGATATCATAATCAGCGATGGATACACATGCTGCCTTCAAAAATTAGGGGTGTGTTTCCCAAAAGCACTGTTAGCCAACTATGGTCACAAGTTCTGCTGAACTCTATTGGTGACGGAACTAGTTGCTTTTGGGAAACGCACCCCAGATGAAGGTATCTAGAAAGAATGTTTCACAATGATTGGATTTGGATGTGCCTGGTCTCTTTCCTACCTCCTTATACTGCCTCCAGAGGCAGCAGGTGTTTTGTGAAGAATTTAGTCATTCGAATACCACACTCACTTGTTGCCACCTACAGGTGTAACCATAACCATAAATCTTTTTGTAGAAACGGATTCAAGTCACTGTTATTCTAGACATCGGAATTACCACCACTCTCAATAATGCACAAGCATAAGTTCGAAACTGAATTAGTTGTAGGCATTTTTCTGTCCTCTTATGAGTATGAGATTGATGCACTGCAAACGGTATGGATTTCGTACTGGATAATACTAAACTTAACAGTTTAGGCCCTCACATTTCTTTTGTATTTTATCTGGTAACCAGCAGTTTCCACACCAACGAAACATCGTCCTTTCTCATGTAAACAAACACTGTTCAGCCTGTCATCGGCAGGGAAAGCAATCATCACTATGAACGCCTCATCATTGAAATACAATGATTTTTTTCATTACATTGTTCCTGTTTTACTTAACAAAACCGCTTCTGCAACAAACGATGATAACATTACACAGCGCGTAAAATGAACTCGCGTGTCATATCTCTCACCTGTTCGTTTACTGCAGTTTGCAGCGAGCTAACGGTCCACCCGATGTGTCTGGATCCACCATCTTCATCGCCTGCCAGCCTGCCTTTCACTCAGTCTGTGGGCAAGCCCGACTCCTCCCATCAGAGACTGGCTAATCAAACACCACCGAACGCTGCCTAATTTCTCAAAGAACGAGCTGCAGCTCTCGGCAAAACGTCAAGCGGTATTGTACTGTACATGCAATGCTGCTTTAAGTTCATAGTAAGAAATAACCTACAGAACCAAATCGGTATAAAAGCCCTTTCGATGGCATTAAATGAAGCTGGTTACAAAATGACTGCCCAGCCCTCCGACTAAAGAAAGCTATAAATATATAGAATAAAAAGAGGAAGCAAGCAATCATTTGGTAATAACTGAAATGTTTCCTCAACAAAACAGCATATTAGAATGATTTCTGAAGGATCATGTGAAACTAAAGGCTGGAGTAATGATGCTGAAAATTCAGCTTTCCTTTGAGCAAACTACATTTTAAAATAAAATAGAGAAGTTATTTTAAATTGTAATATTTAACAAATTACTGTTTTTAAAGTTTTTTTTTTTTTTTTTACAAATAAATGCAGCCTTGATGAAACTTCTTTCTAAAACATAAAAAAGTACCAACCCTAAATCTGTGAACATTATGTGCTACAGGGTAATTATGTGTAATCGAAGAAACACACATGACATGATTAAAAATAAATAAATAACTTAACAAAATGGTCATGAATGCAAAATAATAGGACATTAAAATGTGAGATGGACCTTTTCAGAGTAGGCTAGCTTTATTTAAAACAACTGACAAAACATGTACGGTCATTACAGTTTTTAATACAAATAAATATAAAATACATAATGGATGAGATGCTATAAATGTTGGTTATTGTGGCTGTAAAAACCTACAGTACCTTATCAGTTTATCAGACAATACATGAGGAAAATACAAATTCTTAGGCTACATTTGTTCTTTCTAAAGCTAAATGAACTCTGTCATGCATCTGCATAGATGTATTAGTCATTTCAAATCCGTGTTTATGCTTTACAGTGTAACTGCTGTTAAACTTTTGGTATTCACACAGCAACTGACATTACGACAATGGAAACTGACATGACACAACTGGAAATACTATGTGCTATGTGTAATTCACATTAATGTACACATCTTTAAAACCTCTTAAGGTAATGTAGGACTATTTATGAAACGGGAAGCCCTGAATAGATAAAGATATAAATATTGAAATTTGTACGTTTTCAACAATGTAACTGGTAAGACGGTCCATTAAGAGTTTAAAAGTTAGTAGGCAATAGATATTAAAACCACTTATAGCATTATTACAAAGAGCTAATTGTTAATTGTTTAGGGAGCCAAAAAAATCAACGTGATGTGTCTCGGTCTCTGCATGTATGGGTCATGAAATCCTAAAAATAAATATAATAAAAAGTAATCAAATACAATGACAATGTGACCTTGATCCCAATACAACAGTAGACACAATGTACATGCAAAAAGATAACTATTCAGATCAAAGTGACAAAATATAAAGGCATTCGTTGCAGATGCATTCCAGTTTTAGACTATTCTTCCATACAGTACTCTATTAGGAGCAGTTTGTTTAACAGCAGGTGCAAGGGAGGTTAAAAAAAGCTGCTAAACTCTTATATTATCATCATCTAAAAACAAGCACCTGTGCACACTCCTGTACTTCTAAAGAGTGAAAAATGATCAAACGCTGTCAGTGCAGTTGCTAAACATTGCATTATACAGAGGAATGGTGTGGAGGAAAAGCTGGCTTTATTCTTGAGGGGAACCTTTCAGAATTTTGTGACAGACATTTGGTGATTTTGCTGCTGCAGCTCAAAAAAAAAAAAAAGGTCATGGTCCAAGAAAAGAAGGAACAGAAAAAAGCACTCTGACATGGCCCTTTATAAAGTCTGAGAGTCAGTCAAGAAGTTATGTAACAACTACTTTCAAAAATCTAGTTCTTGTGCAATTGTGCAAAAAAGAAACTAAAGAACAAAATTAGACTTTTATGATGTGAAACTTAAGATCGAACTCTGCAAGTCTTACAGATATGCTGAAAGACATGGATTCATATAAGCTTTGCTAGAATGTTAAAATGATTTCACCTAACAAGAATAGTTTTGCATATGTCCTAATTTAAGAGCGAGATATAATATCTAATCAGATTTTCAGAACCTACTCTTAAGTAAGCTGTGAAAGAATTAAGTTGTCAATGTAAGACTGAGCCTGTGAAACTTCAGTTTATTACAAGTTTAATAATTACTGAGTAACAGTGAGTCAACCATAACTGTCTAATAGCTTATTAGCTTTAATAAATCATCACATAATTGAAGCCAACAACATTTCACTTTTTATATTTGCATAAATATATTTTAAGTTCAAAATAGTGTTAAACAAAGCAGCATTTGTAAACCCAGGCCCCTCAGGGGTCCACACTCCCCCAGTGCAGAGAATAAGCACCGTTCTGCACAAGATGGGCTTGAATGTGGCAGAATGTTATTTCTGCAGCCACATTTGGGCCAAGCTGAGAAACGCCTATTCCTACTTCTGCTATTCCCTTTCATCACGAAAACCCATGAATCTGTGAGCCCACCTGGATGAACTATAACCCAAAACTAGTGCTTAAATGCTGAGGCTAGTCCATGTGACAACGTGGCCTTTGTTATTCTAATGGAGTTACGACGATGTGCTTCAGGAACATTTATTCTCAAATGCCCAAGAATCATCTGCATGAACTGAAGAAATGCTGACCCTGCAACAGATATGTCATATAATACAAATACTCACCTGAATGAGGACAGCGTCTAGAAATTCTGTCAACTTTATGTGTTCATTAATCTGCTTTATTGATTTAAGATTATTAAAACTCATGAAAATGTCTGTCTTTAGCCCTATTATTTCATATCAAATGGCTCAAGGAATCTTTAAATTCAATGATTGTGCTCACATTACTGATTGTATCAAAACGTCTAGGTAATCGCTGAAAAATATTCATGCTTTAGTACAAAAGTCCAAAGAGGAGCAGTAGACGGGATTCAAGAGCCAGTCTGCCCTCAATTAAACAAAAGAGGGAAACTGGGTCAGAATCACTTTGGGCTCTAAGTGTTCCCTTCAAGTGTGCACCATAGTGTGCATTTAAGATTCCCGGCCGGAATAGCAAAACTGCAGACAACATGATGAGAGCATACTGTAATTGATTTGTGGTGGAAGACTTTAAACAACATAAAAACCAACAAAACTATATGAAAAAACTACAAACTTGTAGCTTCTGATAGAGAAAAGAGGATTGTACACTGAAAACAGACCTGAGATATCCAGTACCTGAACTAAAGCAGCTAAAACAGACCAGGCTTAGACTGCCGAGACAGGTCATGGGTTTTCATCATGAGTGGGAATTTGCTCTGGCAGAGCAGCTCTGACAAGCCGGCCAAGGAGTCCAGCTGTTTTCAGAGAACCGGGTGTGGGCGGCTGGAGCCAGAAATAAGTTGACCTATCACAGTTCTCCCATATCATGGTGGGCGGAGCATTTCTCACACTACTGACCTATAACTGAGTCCAGCCACTTCCTGTAGGCAATGGCAAAGCGGTTTTGCTCGGTGCTCCGGCAGTCCGTGAGGATTCTAGAGACAAACGTGTGCTCGGAGGGAAGTGCAGGGTGGGGAAGCAGTGGTCCCCGCTTTAGTCGCTTTGTGTCCTGGGTGTAGCTTCCGTGTTTGCTCCCGTCCAGAACACAGTCAACGTCCATGGTCTGGGAGGTGCTGCTGTCGTCACAGGGCTCCTCGCTGAGGAGGACATCGGTGTGGGTGAGAGGTGGAGATTGTGACCCTGCCCCCTGCAGGTGCTCCCTCCGCCACTGGTGCCACAGGTAGAAGACATGTCGCCTGTTGGAGAAGCCTGGATTTGAGTTTGTTCAAAAACCACATACCTGATGTACTAAAATGCAGTTGACTATAAAAAAATGCACTTTACATTATTATTTAGGTGTGATATGATAGTTGCAGAGCAAATACAATGCAATGTTAGAATAACAAAATTAATAGGCTTACCAACTTTTAAAAGACATGCCCTCATCTTCAAAAACCACAAGCAACACTATCCAAAGTGAAAAAAATACACCCCAAACTATATTACATACAGTTTTATTTACAACAGAGATAAACATTGTGGAAACTAATATCTCATTGAGAATTTTATGCACTTGGCTGTCACATAGATTCTGTCATCATTTACACTCCCTCATGTATTTCCAAAACTTTATGACTTTCTTTCATGGAACAGAACATGACAGGAGAAATCATAATAATAATTACAATGATTGCTTTCAAGCTTTAAAAAGCTTTCAAATGCGCCATAAATGTATCATAAAATATGTTTTTGATCAAATTCTGTGCTATACTAGACATCACCACACCAGAGAATTGTAGTAGAACAACTTAATCTGAAAACTGTTATTTTATAATATTATGGAAAAAAAAACTAATTTCTAAAAACAATGTATGGGGGGGGGGGGGAACATGACCAGTAAATGTTTTTAAAAAAGAAATTATTTTTGTG